CCTATTGCAGTACTTACTCTACAAGGCTTAGGTGAGGCTTATCTCCAACCAGTGAATGGCTCATCTTGTGGAGCATCAAACTTTAATTCAATATATGAATAGGAAGGATTGAAAGAAAAATAAACATGTTGATCAATCTCAGCTTGTACGTGTTTCTTCTCAATGAACTACAGAAATAAATATCTTCATGCACATGTACTTGTATAATGTACCTCAATGAGTGCACTCAATTTCTCAGCTGCAGTGAAGGTCACCAATTCTTTAGCTCTTTTCTCCTCATAATAAATCTGTCCAGCATATGTCATATTCTCTACTATGCCAGTGGAAACAACCATTTTATCTACACAAATATATTTATAATCATAATAAATTATGTGTATTATTATTCCCTGTGTTGATGTACATGTCTTACTATTAAAATCTGAACTAATCTCAGTACAAGGTATTGGAGCAGTTGCTTCTTCATGCTGTGGTTCTTCATGATCCTTTGACTCTTCTACTCTTTCATTATCTTGCTCTTCATTTCCCTCATGTAATGGCTCACCTCCAGTCTCCCCCTCTTCCTCTACTCCCTCATTACTAGTAGACTCTCCTATATAGTGGAATAGATTCAGTTCATTATATACTAGTACACACTCACTCACTCATTACTCACCTTGTCCTCCACTCCTACCTCCTGGTGGATCTTTAGACTTATCAGAATCACTGGATGAATCACTATTACCATCTTCCACTTCTTCCTCAGTTTCTTCTTCTGCTTGTTCCTCTTGCTGCTCCTCCTCTTCCTCTGACTCGTCTCCATTAGTTGATGATTTGAGTAGACGTTTCTCTCCAACAATAGATACCAAACAGAACTCTTTACGTTGAATGGATCCATACCAACTATCAGGTTTAAACTCTCCTCCCTCGACTATTAAAAATTGGTAAGGAAGACTGGGTGTGCTCACGGGAGCTATAGCAAACTTGAGATGACAACTAAAAGCTGGTCGTCCTGTTAAATCAACGCAGTGCTGTATTTCTAATATGAGCCGTTTGAGGAGAGGCTTTGAGAGTGATACTGCATACACAGCACTCACTAGGACAGTATTA